TTTATTACGATACGCTCTCATTCTGCCGGATCTCTTTATGCTATTAGTGCATGCGCGCGAGTATCTGTGTGTGTGTGTGTGTGTGTGTTCTTTTTTATCAGTGAAACCGTGAGAGTAATTCATTAATAATAAATAGAGCCTAGTCTTTTCCCTCGCGACGGACGATTCACGGGTTCACGGTGTAAATATGACCGGCTGATTTACAGCTTTGTAAAAGCGGGAAGTACCGGTCGGGGTTTAAATACAGAAAATTCGGCGACTAATGAATGTTTCATAAATGCGCGATATCGTAAATTCACGTGAATTTATGTTTTCCCCGAATAATCAGTCGCATAGGTGATACAGTTGAGCGACGCGTCGTGATAATTTCTAAAATTACAAGCGCGTCAGAGAGGGTTGTCGACGAGAAGGTTAGATAAAGAAGAAGGGTATTTATAAAAGTGGATGTGCGATATATAACTGCGATATTAACCCGGGAAAGGATCGCCGCGAGACTTTGAGCCCCGGGACTCCTTTCGACGGCTGAGTCCTTTTTATCTATATTATATAGCGCGACTGCTCACCTTTCTTGCGTCGTACATTCGTAAAAAAAAAAGAAGATCCATAAGCGGCGTTTCATTTTTATCCTATTGTACACCTACGCGCTCTTTCTCGCGCGCGGCTTTCCCTGTGATTATATCGCCGTTAATTAACATTTCAACGTCTCGAATTGTAGAGGGAATATAAATACCCGAAGCGTTATTGCTCCGAGGTTGAATATCTCGTCCACCCATGTATTCGCCGCAATGAGATAACATACGCATACAATATGTATATAATATTGTATGTAATATTGTGCAGATACGCCAAGATGTATTTTGTTCTCTCTGCATCACATATCGATACTGTACATGCGAAATGAACATTGATTATCGATATGTTACATTTAATCTGTATTCGAACCAATTTGGCAATTTAGCCCCTGTGTAGTCTGTATTTTTGTCCTCGAATAACGCATTCGCGTATTGGCATGCCGAATTCTAGTTGAACCGTAAACGAGAAGATAGAAATACGTATGTATATATCCACACGTACATATAGGATAGAAATATATGAGATATGAAAATGAGAATTCGCCGCCACGACAAAATGTAAAAATTTTATGCAAAATATCTCTATGTATGTATTTTCAATGTAAAACTTTCGCGCGTAATGTAAAATTTTCACGTATAATGGCGCGCGCACGCAATTTATTCCTTCACTTATATTAGTCGGCGAATATAAAATTTAGAAGATCAAACGTCGAATTTCACGGGCCGGAGGAGCAATATGGCTGTGTTCTCCTACCGTTTCCTCTGTCCAATCCCAAGATGTACTTTCACTTTTTATTTCGCGCAGCACCAACAGGGGGCAGAATAACCAAAGGCAACGCGGCAAATAATTCAACGGACCGCGAAGAAAAGGCGCCGGCAAGAAGTGTTCGAGTGAATGCATATCCAATTACAGGACTCTGTGCCCAGTCAGGCGATCTTTGAAGCCGAACTTCCGAACCGATTGACCTACCTAATTCCGCTTGTGCTTTAATGAGTTGGCTTTGCCCTCCCGGCCGATGAGACGGTCGGTTTATTCCATTAGTTAGCTCGTCTTAGAAGCGGAGTTCCACGATTAACAGAACGATTACACTTCGCGAGATTAAGAGAGGAACGCGCGCCGCGGTTGGCGCGGGGCGGAGAGGGGATCATCGCAACATATATTGGAGAAAAGGAGAGCGTTTGAACTCGCGTCTCGAGATGTGGTCGGTTATAAATACCGGGATGAAACATTCGAGTGTATCGACCGAAATTTCGAGTCGCGACGCCGGCCAACAGACGAAGCTTCGATCGTCGCGAAAACGGCGACAGCTTCGACGATCGAAGGGGAAAAATCGCGCGTGATGGTCGAAGACCGTTGATGAGAGACAATGATGACGAAAGGTCGAAACGCATTTCGTCGCATGCGATGCTAATAATGCGCCGGTTTGAAGTAACGTTCCTGGCACGTGCTTGTGCAAAAATAAAAAGCGGGAGGAAAAACGCTCGTAGACGAAGCGAATATAAAGCGACTGGATGTTGCTACTACTCTCTCTTTCTTCCCCTCCCCTCCTCCACTATATTCCTCGTCGCCCTCTCGACGGGCTTGCTAAGTAATTTCATTGCGGACATTACTACAGGATATAAAGTTACGTACATCCGGATACTTCCGGTGCGGCAATGAGAGCACAACTCTAAGACGAGCACTTTGCTTCGCGCATTTTTATGCGGCACGCAGCGCGATAGGAGAGTAGAGCGGGAAGAAGCCGGAAAAGCGTTTCAATGCGTCGAGAAGTCCCTTGACTGCCGTGAAAAGAACGGAAGCGTGAAAATGGATTTTAATATACCCCTTTATGAGCCGGCTGTCAGACCGCCGTGATAAAAAATTAATGCGACGGAAGAAAACAAGAAAATAAGCGGCACGAAATTTCCATTTTCCAATTGCGACTTGTACGAAAGCACCGAGCTTTCGAGAGCGGGGTTTTTGTTATGTATTATGCCATTTATTAAATATTATACATTTTATCCGCTATTGTTTTTCAAGACAACGCATAGCGTTTAATTTTTCGCCGCTCCGCCATTGTAACACAGTTTTATTCGTACTCGCGAAAATGTAATTTTATCGCGGGGGGAAAAAAAATAAGTGTTACACATCGTGATAGCGCAGCAGTGGGCGCGGCGAAATGCACGGTATAAATGAAGCCCCGCGTTGACGCCGCGGCGTTCGCGTGAACGTGCGCCCGCGTGCGGATTAATTAGTCATGGAAATAATAATTTATCCCGTCGCTCTCCGTATGTAATTACACAATTACGCGGTTATTTATAAATGAGCAGAATTAATCAACTGCTCCGATACGGCTGGTAGCGGAGAAACCGCGAAACATATTTTCATAATCCCGACGCACGGGGAGAGGTCGCCTAATCGCCTTAACATTCGCACGCATTACCTACGTGTAACTTCGACCCGGTACTGTCTGATGTATATACGCACACACATAGTGTCTACACAAGGAGCGATCATGAAGCGATCAGAACAGACGTGCGCGACAGCACCGTCGTACATGCAAAAGTGCAAACATGCGAGACACGTGCGAAACTGTTGGCGCGTGCAGTTCAAATGTTAAAATTCCTTCAAGCAGAGCTCAATAAGAATGGGCGATGCAGTATCGATGTTTCGGGTATCGATGCCCCCATCGTCGATATTTTGTGATATTTCGTCTCTCGATAGCAGCACGTATCGATATTTGAATAGGAGTATCGAACTTCCGATACGGCTTTCGCAAAGCCCGTATCAGACTACGGATCAAGTTGGAGATTGGGTTGAAAGTTGACCGATCAGAGCAAAGTTTACTAAACTTGGGATTAATTTTCTTTATTCTGATTAATTAGATTCTGAGAAATATGCATCAGAGCCTTGACAAGCTCTTGTACACAGGATGAAATGGGTGACAGTCCATTGAAATATTAGCTGTTAACCAATTTGGCTCAACTATTCCTATGTAGGAATGGTAAGTCTACTTATATTCAAAATTTTTTATCTATGATAAAAGTATATTCTGGGCTAAATCTTGTTACTGAAATATAATTTGGGCTTTTGCCTTTCAGAAAATAAATTTACCTGGTCATCACCTATCACCTCCCTGGCGGTAGGTGGGGTGAAAAATAACTTTGCAAAACACATCTTTTTAATTTTATTGCCTTTTTTAATTATTTAATTTAGAATAGTAAAAAATTAAAAAATTGGAAAAATAATGATGAAGTATTGTTGCCGAAACTCCAAATGATCAATAATGACGATTACCGTTATGATATGATTCATTAGGTGTATACTAGATGTCAATCAAAGTAAACGTCCTGACTATTTTCCGGGGAAACGGTTGATCGAAAAGTTCTGATTTTAGGTTTTCTTGAGTTCTTTAGGTCCCAATTATCCTAAAACGGTACTTGAATCTCATGGATCTCAATATTTTTGCTCGAAATGATTAAATATGCATTCTGAATTAAAAGACAGCATTAAAATATTTAAGTATAATTGCGACCTCCTTTCTGAATGAATGATTATTTTCACGGGCTGAAAAAATCACCGAAAATACGGTATAATAAATAAACATTTAAGACAGTTGCTATTTTTAAACTCCTTTTCTGTGCAAGATTAGTTTATATAACTTTTACGCAAAATAATGATAGGATGTAAATAAAAAAAAATGTATATATATATATATATATATATCGATATATCGCATCTGATATTTGTGAAATATTAATGTTTTTATTCACGATATATATCGACACGAAATATGTTCTACATCTCGCCCATTCTTAGAGTACAAACGTTGCGAAAACGGATAATATTACGGCGTGTTTGCGTGAGTCAGCCCATTATAAAGTAAAATGGTAAAGCCGGTAAAGCCGCATCGGATAATGAATTCCTTGCGGTTTTCCCGGAATAATATAAGAACAAAAGAGATAAGTTCCTTCTAATTATTGTAATCTTCGAGTATACGCGACCTATATTTTTCCCATTTCTCGAGGAATAAAAGGACGTAGAAAAGAAAACTTACGGTTGCAAAGACGTACGGATGAGATTTAAATATACAAGAACGAACGAGGCTTTTAGACTTTTCGACTTATAGCGAAACACGGACGAGACGAGAGTTCGCGGACGATAAGCTCGCAGATAAAAGAGAGAAAGCGTCACCGACGCGATCTAACTGCGTTCGCGCGAATCAAACGCGTTCGGGTCGCGCATTCGAGCTTTTATCGCGTCGCGTCGAGACATCTAAGTGCCTGTACTCCTGAAAATCCGCGAATTACCGCTATCGAGACGCGCGTTTTACTATCCTATCCTCGTGCACGAACGGAAACGCGTGCGTGTTGCATGCGGTTCCACCGTGCAACACCGTTCACTTCCCCTAAGTAAGATGGAGCAGCAAACCGCCAGGCGGAACTCACCGTCGTTGTCGGTGTGCGCGCGGGGCGGGGACGAGCTGACGGTCGGAAAATTTCTGGAGACATTATCCCGGGGCTGCGGCTGCGGTCCTTCGAGGTTTGGACTTGGACTGAATTCCGCCCTGAAGTCCGTCCTGTCGAAACCTTCGTCAAACTCGTGCACCTGTTCTATCTCGTCCGGCTCGACCTCGTCCTCGTATTGCTCGCGCAACACCATCCTCGGGACTGCAACCGGGGAAAAAGGGAGTTAGAAGTCTACTCCTGTGTAATGGACTCCATCAGCGGCACATCAAATATACATAGAGTCGTGCGTGTGCTGTTTCGCGCAAGATTGCCGACATGAGGGAAGAAGAATCCGGAAGCTCTCGCGCGTCATAAAATCATATCCGCCTCGGGTGTATTGGTTTCCGGTAAGCGGCCGCAATTGCCGAAATTTCGGCGACGGCGCATATGCCGCGCGGGAAACCGAGCGGGTGGGCAAAGCTGACGGTGAGATATGCAAAATGCCGCTCTTTATAAAATCATAAGGAGCACACCGCGACGAGACTGAAATTTGCGTCGGCCGCTATTACGGGTTACCTTTTTATTTTTCACCGAGTGAGAAACGAAGCGGGGGCTTTTGCGCCGTTTTCCCGCCGTTCTCTCTCTCTCTCTCTCTCTTTCGTTCGCGAGAGAATGAAGCGCGATATCGAACGCAGAAAATTCCATCGGAATCGTTCGATCGTTCGATTCATCTCGCCCTTCGGAATTTCGGCAGCCTATTCCGCCCGCGCATTCTACGCATTCTATTCGCGTCGGTCTAAGTTCGCGCGAGCTTGCGCGATACGCCTGAAGCCCGGAGCGCAATGAAGCGCGTATAAGCGTCTATTGAATCGTGGCGCAAACGTTAACGTTATGCCGGCTCGCAAATAAATCCGTTTCATGATGTGTGGGTGCGCGGCGGCTAATACCTGGCGGTAATAACGTTGCACTCGCGGCCGCATGCGTTTGCTCACTCGCTCGCTCGTGCTATCGAGTCGGAATGAAATGCTACCGATCGCGATACGCAATCGTTATCGTGCTTACTCGGTGCTACCCATTTTTCATTGCGCGCGCGCTGCCGTGCTTGCAATAAACCTCTGCCGCCTCTGCTAGGAGCGAGCTCGTGAATCCGCGACATGAAATAGTTTCGCCGGCGCGGCAACGAGCGCGAAATAACGTATAGAGGTAAAATGTTGGCGATATGCGCACGTAGCTATCGGGATAACAGTGTCGGTCAATTGAGAAATTATGGAGATTTCGCAGCAGCGAAAGTCCGTGTGTGACCTGCATCACCGCGGTAATCGGCGCCGATTGTCCTTCCAGTTTCGCATAATCTCTATTAGGATTTCAACGCGCCGAAATCGTTCCTCTGACTTTGCGCTCAGACGAGAAAATCTGGATACGAAGGAAGAATAGGAATGTATCCAGCCGGCTTATTCAGAAGCTTAAATTTATTTAGTACAGGGCTAGATAACACTTTCTAACTCGTTATTTATTCGTCACTGGCTGGATTATTTATTAAAAAATGTAGAATCGGTGATCTAGCTGCTGCCCGGCCATTGCATATCAAATACGATAGAACGGATGATGGCGCTGACTTTTCTAAAATATATAATCTAGCTGTATACCCGCCGCTTTAAAAACAAAAATAACAAATCAAAGTTGGGGGTACGTTGTCCCATAAAAATTAAAAGAAAAAGCCGAAACGAGCGTTGTATTAATTATCTGGCAACTGGCTGTTCGATTTTTCATCTCGAAACTGTAATTTCTTTCGTTAACCAACGTTATTTCTTCAGTTATCGTAAGATATTCCAACGTTACTAAATACTTGCCGACTTCATCGATGCCGAGAACGTCAGATGATGAATTAACTCGCGAAAGCGCTACCCTCTGAGCGCACCACCGAAACACACTCCGTACACCGGTGGAACGCGGCGTCTCTCATGAAATCTCTCTTACTAGCCCGCTTTAAAATAATTTCCGCCATTTTGCCGGAAAATTTCCGCGCGGTAATCCTGAAGCGCGCATAGCCGGCATAGCCGGGCCCTTCGCCGGATTAAAAGCAAATGACGCGGCTACATAAGCGGCTGAACTAGCTGCGGCGATGTAGCTTGTTTACTGCAATTAATAATTGTAATTTAACACCAATTTTGCGGCAGTACATGCTGCGACGGGTTATATCCGATCTTGGTGCGCTGGTGCGCGCGTCGGTGCGAGCGGAACGCCCGGGATGCTTTAAACCGAGCGAATACATTATGACCCCCGTCCACGTATAATGGAACGGAGAAAATGTGAGAGCCAGGGGCAGAGGGGAGAGGAAGGAACAAGATGCGGCAGGGCTGCGCTAACGCGCAGGTAGTGTAATATTATACGCGAATTGAGGGAAAAAATATCATTTTGCCGTCATCGTCAGCATCGAATGAAGAAGAGCACGTTGCGCGTATCGTCTGATACCGTTGAAAGCATCCGAACAAAAAGCAATCCCGCATTTACAGTCAGTCGTTTTCAAAGTCAATTATTAATTTACAAAGCTTGCGAAAGACCGACGGAGGAAAAATATCAGGATGAGTTAATAATTATTCCCGCGCTCTGTTTATCGAATTTATTATTAAAAGAACGGTAAAATAATTATAAGCATTTTACTTCTCGATATAATCTCGATTTGATTTTCGGTGCTTAGTCCAATATGTCACGCAATTTTTTTCATTCCCTCAGAAAAACATACTGCCAGCCTACACGAATTCATAACACAAGTGCGGATAATTATTGAATATCCTTTTCCGGGAAGAAAATTTACATAATCATATAAGATTATATATAATTATATGCAACTATATGTGGTTTATACATGGATTTTGTTTCTATATGACTGCATATATAATTATATATGTCCGTACGAGAGAAAAATATTGTCGAATGAAAAACGGAAAAAGGTAGTTTAATTCGATCAATGTTTATATCGTGGGCAGCCATAAACAAAAATATTTACTTCAATTATATTCAACAATATTAACAATATTCACAATAACAATATATTTACAGTAACAATATTTTTTAGACGCGGAAAATATATAATTATATTCGATTACATACGGCCATATGAGAGACAAAATTCGTACACAATCATTTTTTCCCGAGCCACCCTCTCGTAATTAAGATTCGTAACGATCTTTCTTCTCGTGTACAGACCGCTTAGAATAACATTTAATTAACCGATTGTGGTGAAAGAAATCTTTGCTCTTTTTCCACCGATTGGTCAATTAAATGTTACTCTGTCCGTCGAGTAGGATTTCCGAACGCAGTCTTGCTCTCCGGAACTTCCGTCGCCGATTGGAACCCGAGGAATTGTGTCACGCGACATCGCCGCGAGTCTACGAGCAACGCGCGTAATTACCTTTTCCCATCGAAATCGTTGATTTATAAACCGACGAATGGCGGATAATTCATACGCGCTAGGCATATAGAGGAGGAGTATGCAGTAACGACGCACACGACGGCCGAGGTGTATCTTATTCGTGGCAATTAATTACAGTAATTTAACACCAATTTCGCGGTACGGCTTGCCGTAAATGCGGGTTAAATTTACTTTGAGTCGGTACACCGAAGCTTTAATCTGCACGGATATATTAGAACCCACGAGCGAGAATAATGCAACAAAGGAAACCCGCTTCGGCGAGGATGCGCGCCGCGAGGTTCCAGCGTGCGGCGGCGCATGCAACGGCGCGCGCGCGCGCGAACCGACGCAATAATTACTTATCGCGCGATCGCCTAATTATCGCGCCGGCACGGCCCGACATAGTTACGACGTATCCAAGATCTGGGAAAATTGGTTAACTTTTATCAGGATGCAGCCGAGAGAGAGAGAGAGAGAGAGAGATCTTGGTGGCCGTTCTGATACTACCCTCGACATCGGCAACACCAGAGCTTGTTACCGCATACCGTAGTTACCGTTAGCTTAACGCAGGTCGTCGTAATAACGCTCGCCCAGCAGACGTGTTCGCCAGGATACAGGATAGAGGACATTAGCTACGGCCAGCAGCAATAATTATGAGAACCAGCAATTTACGAGGCGTGAAGCTTTCACCACTTCGCTGCCTCCCTCTTTCTCTCTCTCGAGTGAGTAAGTGAGTGAATGAGTGAACATTAATTTATCATCTCGGGAATTGTCAACCCGGCGTACAGATCACAACATTCGCATTCATAGTAAAATACTAGTGCGGCGTACCGTCGCTATAAATTTAAATTAACGTGCGGACCATGCGAGCACATTTAATATTATAATTTTACAAGACTTCACCGTTTTCGCGGTGTAGATCGTACCTTTTTCTCTTCTCCTCTTTTTTACATTTCAACGTTTCTCCATTTTCCCGCGTGACGGAACATTTTTAGATGGTAACGAGAAATGTACCGCTCGACACGAGAAACGTCGCGAAGTACGGTGAAACTTGCGCGATGTAAAAACTTATGATTTCTTCGAGAACAGGTGGACTTGCTTTTTACCGAGTCGTGTTTTCTCGCGACACACCACTAATAAGGATTCGACGAGGAGGACACGTTTCATCAGTTCGGGTTGTGAAATACATTACGCACAACAAACAGAGGAGCACGTTTTCCTTACGTTTCGCTCTATGGAAAAGTCGAATTTTTTCTTGCGCTCGTGACACGCCTAAAAGTGACGAGAAAATCTTCCATTTTATCCAGCTTCTCGTTCTCGCTCTCTATGTAAAAATTATCAAAATTAAAAGAACCGAAAAACGATAATGATCACTCGAAAGCAGATATTTCAAGCTTCAAATCCCTCTTTTAAATTTCAATTTCGATAACTCCCGACAAAGTTACAGCTGCTTGAATCTTGCCCATTTTTTGAGGAAGTGCCAAATTAATTCCCCTAATTATTGTGCGTAGTATATTCCGTGCTCACCGACGTCAGCTGTCCGACTCTCGATGCATCCTTCACCTATTTTAACAGAACCTTCTCGTAATTGTCGGTGTTGCGATTTTACTGGAAAACCACTGATTACGCTCCGTTCAATTAATCGCATTATCGAAGGTCTGGAATCGCATTGTGTAAAACGCATTTCCACGTGACGCGATGAATAACGTTTACGTTAAAATAATAATGCCTGTGCCGCAACGAACGTTAACGCCGAGGATCGTGACGTCCGTCCCGCCGAATCGAGAGCTCGCTGGCGGATGGCGGTAAA